AACACAAACTGGAAATATTATATTAAGTGGCTAAACCCATAGTTTTAATTACAAATAGCATCACATAATTTTCACATTTATAATTGATGCTAACCAAAATAAGGCCTAACATTATACTAGACCTAATATCAACATAGGTTATTGTATTAATTTGATTAACCACCTTCAACTATGGATATAAGTGAGGCAAATGAAGTACAAGATTTTATCCATCCCTAGATTGGTGTATTATCACATTCAAGTTGGTTAAACATTTCAGGTCAAACGCTTCGGATCATATTTAGGTTGGTTAAAGACTTCGAGTCAAACTCTTTGTGTCCAATTTGATTGTTCAACTTCGGGTTGGGTGATTTCGAGTGTGTGGTTAGGATTAGGTTAACTCAATTTTTGGGTCAAGTATGGGTTGGGTTAATTTTGGGTTTTGGGTCTTTTTTCGGTCAATGATTTTGGGTCAAATTTGAGTTATTCGGTTTGTGTCAATTATTTTGATTTGAATACTTTTTCTCATTTCTCCCTTTATTTAATTATATCCATTTTCTATTAAATTAACAGTATTTTTTTGTACTTTAAAATTTTTTAAAAGTTTTTTCCTTTTACTTTGAACATTGTATTATTTACTTTAATAGTATTTTCATTTACTTATAACATGTTTTTGACTTTAATACTTTTTCCAATCTCCACTTCTACTTTTGATTCATTTTTTTATTACTTTAAAAGTATTGATCTTTACTTTAAAACCGAACACCATATTTCTGAAAGCTTTTTTTTTTATTTGTGTTAACATTTTTGTGAAAGAACAATCCTAGTAATTTAATTAACATATATATATATGTATTCTTTTTTTAACACATACTGCAAATATTATATTAAGTGGCTAAAGCCATAGTTTTAATTACAAATAGCATCATATATTTTTTACATATATAATTGATGCTAACCAAAATAAGGCCCAAAATATATACCAGATTGCAATACAACAGTCCTTGAAATTCATTTCCCTAAACCTGCACTAACCCAAAAGTTATTTCATCCATCACAAAAAAAGAACTAAAACTACAGAGACATAGTAGTAGCTACTGTAGCATTTCTTCAGATTCTTTCTTTTCTTCCCAATCCTCAACATTTGTTAACAGTTTCTGTTTCATTTGATTTTTTTCACTATGAAGTAGGTCAAGCACTGTTCTTACATGATGGTGATTCAGTCTTGCAAATTCCTGTGAAAAATATAAATTATAAATAAATTATACACTAAGTATAGATTAGTTCTAAAGTATAACGACTTCAAAAATAAGTATGTTAATTACCTCTGTTATTGTTCCTAATCCTATACCATTTGCACCATCATAAATCTTCATATGCAGCAGTAGATAGCTTGCTGAGAAGTTTTCCTCTCTTTCTTTTTGGAATGGAAGTTCAATTATTCTCATCTTGTAGGTCAGTGTATCATTTGCTTGTGGATGCTTCCTTTTTTTAAACAACTTTTGCACTTGTATCACCTGCAATGCAATGAATATTAGTATAATAAAGCATATTGAAAAATGAATTTAAAAATAATTTATCTACTGATTCTTTACCGTTTCTAAGATAAAACTCTGTATAGGCTCATATTCTTCATTTGTCTCATACAAAGTGCTGTCTAGATGATCAATTGTTACATCTTTGAAGTTTATCACAACAAGAAAATAATGCTCTTCTAACCTCAAAGGCAAATATACCTGCATATAGATTTGTTTTATATATAGTTACTTTAAACCTGTTTTTAATTACTTTAAACATATATTGTTCTACTTTAATATTAATTCTGTCTTACACATTGAGCTGCATCCCTGTCCAATGATTGTGAACTGTTCAAATCAATCCATAGCTTTTGCAGACTTGTTACTCCCTTTTTTCCATGAGCATTCAAACACATTGTTAAAGCATCCTTTCAAAAATAAAAAACCAATTATTATTTCTAATATTTATTTAATGTAGAATTTTAAATTATAAAAGTTAATTTGAAAAACTTACCATGAAGTCAAATCCAAAAAAGTATCTGACCAAGTCATTTTCAGACCTGTCTCTTTCCATTTCAATGTTACTCAGGTGGTTTGACCAAGCAGTGATCACATTACTTAAAACATACCTCTTGTTTGGAAAGTTTTCACCGTCATTGATTGCTAAGTAGTCAATCACTTGGTGACATTGCAAACTCATGTTATGCATTACTTCCTTGTGTTTCTTCAAGAAATCAGAAACACAAATCATATCTTCCACTCCTTTCTCCTTCTCTAGTTTTCTAACTACCCTGAACCTTGAAATTTTTTTCTCAAGTTATTTTCTTTTTGTGTTTATGTCTGCCAAAGCAAGAGCAGCACATATTTTTGCACGATACACCTTTTTCCTATTTGCTAAATCAAGGTCAGAATCAAAAGTCTCTCCGGAGAAACACAACATATGGATCATTGCAAAAACACCACAATCAAGAGTATATCTTGGTGTCTTCAACTTGAAGTTAAATTCATCAAACTCATATTCAAGAATTTCATCAGCTTTTTCACGATTAATTCTCTTCAGAAAGTTTGACATTTCCTCCACCTTTAACATTTGTAAAGCAATATATAAGTAAAAAAAATTTATAGTATAATTAATTTAATAAACATATGATTTACTTTAAATAAAACATCTGTTACTTTATATTTTATATTATATATTTATAAGAAATACAATGTGTACTTTTAATAGCTATTCTTTAACTTTAATAACAATATTATCTACTTAAATCAGAACATCCTTTACTTTATATATTATCTTATGTTTTAACTGTCATTATAATCTATACTTTTAATACATATTCATTTACTTTTATAGTATTCTTATTTACTTTAATAATTTACTTTTTATAAACCAAAAAAAAATCTTACCACAATGGATCCAAGAATTTTGTAGAAAGACTTGTGCCTATCATCATACTCCCTGTTATCCAAGTATTGAATGGTCTGATTCATAAAGTTAACCACTATCAAACTATAGTGGTGACTCATACAGATTGGAATAAAAATCTGTCATTAAAATTACAGTTATTAGTCTACAAATTCAAAATCATAATTCCATACAATGTATTTTAATAAACATGAATAATAAAACATACCAACTGAGTTGTTATAATTTTCTCCTTTGCATCACATGGGCACATCCAATCGTACCATGCCTGATTCAATTCTTGTGAGTGTACTGAAGGAGACTTCACCTCTGTTTTATCTGTTGGCTAGGAAGCATCTTGTGACCTGAGAGACAGCTCTAGAGGTCTCTGTGTTTTAATGAGAACATAAAACACATTACTTTATGAGATCATAAATATTTAATTATGATTAAACTTAACAGTATTTTAAAAACCTTACACTGTGATCAATGCCAAAGATAAAGCATGAATGATCTTCTATCAATCGAGAATTATTCATTAAAAATGACCAACATTGAACAATATTAGATTTTATCGTTTGAGCAGGGGCTATAGGAGATATGGATGTTGTGTCATCTCTTGTTATCATGAGAGGACCTTCAAATTTCACAATCTCTTCACTGTGCAAAATTAAACATTTATAGTAATTAAAATATTATTTAAAGTAAACTACATATAATTTAAAGTAGATAAAATATGTTTAGAATTAAATAATTTATTACTTACTGCTTGAATGGGCTATACTTCACAAAGCAGTAATCAGCCACTACTTGATAAAGCTCTGGCATTTCATTCATTCTTGATTTGTTTGCTTTCATTGTCTTACAAACAAAACAATGTCAACATCTTTCTCTCCACAATCCAATCTGATTTTAACTTTTGAAACTATCTCCTTGTGAATGTCCTTATACTCAATTGTAGTTGTTTCTTCCTGAAGTTGTTTTTCAGCAACAACTGTAATAAAATAGCACATATAGTTACAAAATTATGATACACTATTGACTATGTATTGATTAAATATTTAGTAAAGTTAACAACTTACCTTCAATTGGTTTTTGTGTTGCTTCCTTTGTAAGTGTTGCCTGATTTAGTATACTCTCAGTGATTGAGTGTACAACATTAGAAATATTAAGATCAACACCTTGATTATTAGCATCATCTTCTTGATTTTCAGAATCTTTCTCTCCTTTCTCTTCATTATCAGAATCTTTCTCTCCTTTTTTCTAACCCTCCTATAGTTCTTTGTCTTGCTTATTTTCTTCCTACTTTTATTTTTTGTCCTCATCTTCTTTTTGTTCTTCTTTGTTGTCATCTTTCTTTTCTTCCTCTTCCTTCTTTTTCTGTTTTTCTTCCTCCTCCTCCTCATCATCTTCCTCCTCATCCTGTTCTTCCTCTTCCTTCTTTTTGTTTTCATCATCTTTCTTTTTATTCTTTTCTTCCTCTTCCTTCTTTTTCAGTTTTTCTTCTTCTTCCTCCTCATCCTATTCTTCCTCCTCCTTTTTGTTTTCATCATCTTCTTTTTTGTCATCCTTCACTTTTTTTCCATCATCCAGGTCCTCTATATCAAAATCTTCATCATCAACATCCAAATGGACAGTTTTAGGATCAACTGCATCTTCTTCAATAGGATCTGTTTCTTTTTATGTTGCTCCTTCCATGTTGACAGAATCACACCAGATACATCTCTTATATCATCATAAAGCCTAACTATTTCATCCATAGCCCTTTGTACTCTAGGATCTTCCATCAGCCTTTGGGTTTCAGAAACTTGTTGAGAATTAGATGCATTCACATTCATTTTTTGCCTTTTCATCTTTTCTCCTATGGCAGCTATACACTCAGCATGTATCACTGCAAAGAGTTGTGAATCTCTTGTCAACAAATGCAGTTCTTCTTCAATTTCCTTTTAAAGTTAATTTGTTTACTTTTAAGTCAACATTATTTACTTTATGTTTATCATTAACAGAGCAATTCAATACAATAAAAGTAAACAAATATGAGATAAAAGTAACTGCATTTTATTTTAAAGTAAATCATTGTAACTAAAAAAAATAAGTACTCACATCTTTTGCAGCTTCATGTCACTATTTGTCATCACATCTTCTGGTAGGTTGAATGACACCAATCTTTTCTCTCTATCAGAAAAATTTCTATAAGCATTCTCAATTACATCTCCCAAGAATGCTTCCTTTCCCTTTTTTCTACAAACTAGATAGTCATTTTTTTGAAGTTCTCCTTGTCCAAAAGATGCCTTTGCCTTTTTTGCAATTCTTTCTTTGACTTTTTCATCTGTCCAATGTTGGATCAATGGTAGTGTTATAGGTTCAGGCTGACCTCTGAATGCTAAATGATAAAAGTAGACAAGTTGAATAATCAAGACACATCCACTGATTCCTGATCTTGAATCTTTGTTTTTGTTGTTCTTGAAGCTCCTCACTGATTTGCACAGATTATTCATCACATAACCACACCAATCTAGGTTATGTATTTCTTTCACATTGTCTACATAATTGATTATCTTGTAATCAATCACTCTGTTTGCAACATGGGCTAAGAATGTGCTGCAAACATACATCACAAAAAATCTTTTAAAATCCTCCCCTCCTTCCTTTAGTGTCTTTAATTTGGTCTCCAAATTATTCACAATTATCTCATCATCTTCTAGAATTCCTAGCTTCTTCTTCCACTCTTTTTGAATCAGCAAGTTAGATAGAGGTTGCTTCCTTAACTAAAAATTCACCTTTTTCTCAGTTACATGTGGAAGCAAGAATATATCTTCAACATCAAAAGATCTAACTTGAAATTCCTTCAGCATGTCAATCTTGAACATGCAGCTGGTTTCATTGAAAATGGTGACAAATCCATGGAAGCATTTTTGTTGAAATTCTTGTTAATTTTAGCTGAAGCTGCCCTCCAAAACCAATACTTTTGACATCTTTTTTGTGCTGCTCACTAAAATCCTTGATCAAATCAACAACTGCATTGGGTCTGTAGTGTGTTTTCTTGATTTCTAGATTACCATCATTATCATCATTAATATCAATAAATTCATCTACATCATGTTCAGAATTGTCAAGCTTCAATTTCTTCTTTAAATGACCTTGTCCCTTTTTTCTGTCTTCTTCTGATGAACCATCAGAGTTCTCATTCTGATCTTCTTCTGGTTCATAATTGCTATCTTTCAATTCAGATTTTACCCTTTTCTTTGTTCCTATAATTTTTTAAAACATGTTAACCAACTTTGATAACATTTATATTTACTTTATTAAAGATATCAACAAACATCATAGACATATAACAGTAAATAGCTCACTATATAACAATTTATTTTATAAAAGTTTCTATTTACTTTAGAAGAGTTTCTAATTACTTTATAACAGTTTCTATTTACTTTATAACAGTATCTATATATTTACTTTATAACAGTCTCTATTTACTTCAATATTTACTTTATAACAGTTTCTAATTACTTTATAACAGTTTCTATTTACTTTATAACAGTATCTATATATTTACTTTATAATAGTCTCTATTTACTTCAATATTTACTTTATAACAGTTTCTAATTACTTTATAACAGTTTCTATTTACTTTATAACAGTCTCTATTTACTTTATAATAGATTAATACATTGCTGTAATACATAACATATGAATTTAATTTTATAAACTTTTATGAACCTTTTGATGCTTCTAGTTCCTTAATTCTTCTCTTTATCAATATTTGCTTTTTTGAAATCCTTTGAAGCTTAGCACCTATTACATTTAGTTTACACAATCAGTTTATAAGTATAGACATATTAATAAACTTTTAAAACATATTCATTTACTTTATAAGCTTTTTTTATTTACTTTACTACACTAACCATTTACTTTTTATATTCAATAATGTAATAGTATGCATTATTTGTAACACAGATTTATACAGATAAATGATTTACTTTATAGCTGTTTCTATTCACTTTATAACAGTCTCCATTTACTTTATATTATATACCTTTAATTGGAGATTGCTTTGTATTTGCAGGAACTTTCTTGGATGTAGGACTCTTTTTGGCTGCAGGAGATTTCTTGGGTGCAAGAGTTTTCTTTGCTGCAGTAACTTTTTTATTTGCAGCAGCCTTCTTTGGTGAAGCAATATCCTTTGGTGGATCTTGTTTTTTCTTTGTTCTTTTGGCCATTTTAATCTGTGGGCAATTCAAAACAAATATAATATGATCAAGAATTATGTATAGGTTAATGCAATGAGCAAAGATTAACATCATTTTTGATATACACATTTACTCAATTTCTGTATACTTTTAACACATTTCTATCTACTTTTTACAAATTTCTAACTACTTTTAAAAAATTATACTCTCAAAACTATATAAACTCAAACAACTACTTATAATTTACTTTTAGTTAATTTTTACTTACTTTTAATAATTTTTTATTTACTCTTAGCAAATTTCTGACACTCAAGTAGAACACAAATATTATAGCAACAATAATGCAGTAAAAAATTGCTCATAAATTAAACAAAATTATTATAAATTAGTATGAGCTTAAATAAAATTAATCATAATTTGAACAATAATGAACGAATTTGCGATAATATCTGATTATGAAGAAATCGAAAAGAAAACACTAAAATTAAACTTCAAATACTCCGATTCAAGTTCAGCTACTTCAATTCCAACATAATCAAGCAAAAAAAAAAAAAAATGCAAATATAAGTAAAAATTTGAATAATTTTCTCATGCATGTCGATTTTAACCTAAATTACAATAAATTTTGCAAAAAATGATAAGTATATTAATCATAATTTGAATAAAAATGAACTAATTTGCAATAATACCTGATTATGAAGAAATCGAATTAAAAACACCAAAATTGAACTTCGAATTTCTCCGATTCAAGTTCTGCTACTTCAATTTCAACATAATCAAGCAAAAAACACAAATATAAGTAAAAAATTGCAACAAAAATAAACAAAATAGTATGAACTTCGAAGTTGTGATAAAATACCTTATTTTCGTCAATTTTCGCCAATTTTCGAAAATTTTTGTTCCAAAATTGAAAATGAAGACAGTTGAACGTGAAATTGTTACTTTATAGCAAAATTAAGCAGTTGATTTTTACGGTTATGGCAGTTTTCGAAGGTTTTTGCAGTTGAAAATGGCGTGGAAGAGTGAGAAAATGGTGGAAATCGAGAGAAAAATGCGGAAAGAAAGAGAGAGAGAGAGAGAGAGAGAGAGAGAGAGAGGAGAGAGAAAAGGCGCTGAAATGAATTTTTGCATTTAATTTGTCTGAAAGAATATGAGCCGTCATATTGCGCCCCTCTTCTCCTAGATCCTCTTCATCTACTTGCATTTGATCATCCTCTTCATCGTCATTCTCAATGTCATTCTCATCATCATCCTTATCGTCATCGGCGTTATCATTAACCTTCAATTTCACAATTAGTATGCAATGACATTGGTGGAATGAGATTGTTCCTTCGACCCCTTTCTTTGATCTGATTAATTTGAACTTGAAATTTTTTATAACAAAGAGTAGGTACCCAAATAAAAGATAATGTATAATTATTACTTATTAGATAGTGTCCAAGAATTTTGAGTTTCATTCTTATACTCAACTTCCTCATTCTCATCGGGTAAATCAATCTCTTTCTCAAGAGATGCATTACACCTTTGTTTACTTTTCTTAACTTTTGAGCTATCTACTACGCTTGTTAAAGAAGCAGCAATGCGCTTTATGCCCAACGTTTCATCCTCGTCTTGTTAGCTTCAATTATCTTGAGTCTTTGTAATTCATACTCATTTTCAGTTATGTAATCTTCTTTAATTTGAAAGAGTCTTTCCTCTTGATTTCGACATTTTGGAGCTAAAAAAGAAAAAAAATATTAGAAATCAAAGTTTTGATAAACTTCGATAGATATGTGCATTAATCAAATCATTACAGTAGATTAAAACTTTGTAGAATTCTGATTTAAAGAAAATAATATTTTAATTACTAGATTAGTTTGTTAATTTGACACATATAGAAACCTATAATGTCATGTATTTGTCTACATATATGTATTTGACCCATACATATAAAAGTAGCACTAGTAGAAAAAGTCAATTTGGCACTGAGTAATGACCATTGGTTTTTAAAAACCTGTGGGGCAAAAATGGGCACCGAGTAATTGGCACCGGTTCAACCCAAACCGATTCCATACGTATTAAAGGCCACCGGTTCAAACCGGTGGCAATTAAACAAAAAAAACCGCCCCTTACTTTTTCCTTCACTTTCCCCTTTCTTTTTTCATTTCACTGTAGTTGAATTCCCTCCTCTTTTGAAACCTCAGCTCTGTAGGGAATATTTCAATCCATCCCACACTTGATCCCCACTATGATCTGTAGACACCTACTTTTGGCCTCTTGTCCCGAAAGGAAGTATGATGATCTTACAAAAATCCGTTCTTCATGTTAGATCAAAGTTGAAATGTTTATGGATGAAGTAAGTTAAAACCCATATTTGAGACCAAGTTATCTTAGAGCCTTGTCCGATTACTAATTAGGCCTAAAACGTATTCATACATGTTTAAACTTGATTAATAACGGACCCAAATGTGTCAAGTGCAATGATTGGATCAAATGGAACCTACATTGTTGAAAAACCGAGACAAACAATTGAACAAACTATAAATTTCCCATGAAATGCCTATAAAGATGGATAAACCTTTGAAAGAGATTTCCAACGGTATATTATAAGCCCAATTCCGAGCCAAAACAAAGAAGTTATGATCAAAACACTAAACCAAGCCCTAAAACCGACACCCTTGCACTCCAATTGCCATAACTTTTTATAAACAATATATTTTAACCTAATTTTAATGGAATTGGAAATTAGACATTCAGAGCTTTCCAGTGATATCTCACACGCCTTAATCCGACTTTGCAATCAAAAGTTATGGAAGTTTAAAAAATGTGTTTTCGTAAACCGCAAACCAGCGCAACTCAATCAGTTGCGAGCGCCTGGCGCGCGCGACTCATTGAGATGCGCGCGACACCCAGCACGACTCAAAGAGTTGCGACCTGACGGTGCGACTCTAAAACCCTAAACCAAGATCCCTACCCCTATAAATAGGGGTCTTCGTTCAGCATTACTAGGACCGGAAAAAAATCAGAAAAAACCCTAGTATTCTCAAAACCCTAATCTCTCAACTTCTCTTACTATCATACTACTTTTTCTTCTCTCTTCCCAAATACTTTCCAACCCTAATTGAATCCATTGAAGTCCTTGGAGGTACAAAGAAGAAAGAAAGTCCATAAACACATTAAACCGAGATTTAACATAAAAGAACGACGGTTAGTTTCCTAAGCACTTAGATAAATCACTTTTCTTTATTGTTTAAATAACTTTAATTGATTAATTTGTGTTATTTTATCACTTTAAACAAAATTTTAATTAATTAATTCACATTAAACGGAGACTAGAATTGGAATAATTAATTGTTGTTTTATCACTTAAGACAAGGCGAATCTTGTTTATTTATTGTTCTTTCACGAATATTATTAAATAAGAATAACGACTTTTGCAATGTAATTCTTACGTGATTAATGCTTGTAAATAAAATCAACTAACTTAGTCTTTAGATATCACGTTGCATATATTGTTTGGTAATGAAATTGTGAAAAAGGAAGAGCTAGTAGAGGCCGTAATAGGGCCAGAATAGCGATTCCTCCCTAACAGGAACATTATTTTAGTACCCTCGCTCCCGAAATCATTTTTGGTTTATGTAGACCAATTTGGCCATGGGTAAACTTATGATTCGTGCTAATTATCCCTTGAACTCTACCTGGGAGAAAGGCAAGAACGAGGTTTTGAGTTATCCTAAAACTCATTGGCGACTCCTACTTGTTTCTTACAAAAAAGCGTGATGAGAGTATCATTTCTAATTCAAGGTCTCCCAAACAGTCAGGAATTCAAATCCTAATACACCCTAACAAGTGTAATGTCCTAGGCTTTTAAGCGGCCATGGGCATCTAAGGAAGGATCCCCTACGATGGGATCACCCTCCGTACATGATCATATACTTAAGCATGGTGGCGTCCAAAGGGAAGGAAGCTAGAGTAAAAGAGTCGCGAACAAGTTTTAGGAACTTGTAAACCGTTCACAGGGTGAAGGTTACACCCCTTAACGATCCAGGAGATCGTTAACTCCAATAGATTTGGAACCATGACTGGAAGTTCGGGGATGAAGGTACAAATCCAACCTAAAAGAGATTGAACTTGCCCTAAAAATAGGCCTCTACTTTATTTTTCTCGTATTCATGTGCGCTTTCTGACTAACATACAATCAATAGGTTTACCCTAAACCTATTTATCTATGTTGGTTGAATATTAATGCACAAATAAATCTATTATCGGCGATAAATTGAATTATAATCATATTAACCCTAAACAAGATTATTAATTATCTTATTAAGCGTGATTACAAGTACAAGTCCCCTTTAAACATGCATAAAAGGTGTGATCAAGTAATAACAATAATATATCAAGCAACATAAATCATAATCATCATCATAATCATAATTAAAATAATCATGTTAAAACATAATATTATTAGCAAGATCCTAGGCATGATACTAACAAGATTAATAACAAACCCTAACATGTCACTAAACATCAAAGATCAAAGCTTTAACCCTAACATGATACTAACATGATATTATGTAGGAAGCATTCTTTTAATCATACTCGATATTAGAAATATTAATTATTACCCTAAACATGATACTAGGAAGAAATAAAACATCCTAACATGATACTAGGAATCAATAAAACAATCTAAGCATGTTTTCTATATAAAAGGAATAGTTATACAATTAAAGTACTTACTTTTATGCCTCCTACCTCTTTCTAATAACAAAATACACACGTTAGTAACTTCAAGAAAAAAAATAAACAATACAATTAAATTAAATAATTGAAATAGAGATTTGGGATTGTAGGGAATATTTCAAGCATTATCCCTAACTTGAACCCCGCTGTGATCATACACTAAAGTACGGTGGCGTCCAAAGGGAAGGAAGATAGAGCAAAAGATTCGCCAACAAGTTTTAGGAACTTGTATACCGTTCACAGGGTGAAGGTTACAACCCCTTAACGATCTAGGAGATCGTCAACTCCAATAGGTCTGGAACCATGACTGGTAGTTCGAGGATGAAGGTACAAATCCAGTCTAAAAGAGATTGAACTTGCCCTAATAATAGGCCTCTACTTTATTATTCTCGTATTCATGTGTGCTTTCTGAATAACATGCAATCAATAGGATTAACCCTAAACCTGTTTATCTATGTTGGTTGAATATTAATGCACAAATAAATCTATTATTGGCGATCACTTGAATTATAATCAAATTAACCTTAAACAAGATTATTAAATATCTTATTAAGCGTGATTACAAGTATCTATTCCCTTTAAACATGCATAAAAGGCGTGATCCAGCAATAACAAATCAATAACAAGCAACATAATAATAAATCAATAATAATCATAAATCACAAAAATAATCATAATCATAATCATGTTAAAGCATAATAATAGCAAGATCCTAGGCATGATACTAACAAGATTAATAACAAACCCTAGCATGTCACAAAGCAATAAAAATCAAAGCTTTAACCCTAACATGATACTAACATGATATTAGGAAGAAAATAGGAAGCATCGCAGGTATCATGATTGTCATATTTGATATTAGAAAGTATAGTTATTACCCTAAATATGATACTAGGAAGATCAAAACTCCCTAACATGATACTAAGAGTCATAATAACAACCCATACATGATTTTTATATCATAATAACAATAAATCAAATAAAGCACTTACTTGGATGGTCTCGTACCTTTTTCTAATAATAAAATACACGCGTTAGTAACTTCAAGGAAAATATAAAATAAACAATTAAATTAAATAATTGAAATAGAGATTTGGGACCAAACCCTCAGAAATTAAAACCTTTCACGTCTAGGGCAAAGGCAACTCCGAACTTAGCTAGGTACTTCTAAGTCTAGTGAATGTGGAATTTTGTATGCAAAAGGGTTGGTTTAGAAAAGAGAGAGAGAATAAGATTTAGCTTAGAGAGAGAAGAGAATTAGAAAACTAGAGAGTTGATGATTAAAAACGGAGGTTTTAGGAGGCTATTTATAAAGAAAATCAGTCGGACGGATAGAAAAACAAATCAGAGTTTCGACGAGAATAAAACAGGTTAGCGCCAGACGCTGGACATTAGCGCCAGGCGCCAATCCCTGTCGTCAGGCGCTAGTAATTATTTTCATCCGTTTTCTTAGTTCTGATAAAATTTAGCCGTACAGAAGGACAAAATCGTATTTTCTTGAAAAACACTCTTTTATTCTGATTAAAACTCTAAAAAGTCAACCAAAGTCAATTTATC